CCAGTCCAAGCAATGGATCGAGCACTAGTAGTCGACAGCCTTCCGTCAGCACTTCAGCCAGCTGGAAATGCATGGGCAGCGAAGATGCTCGCTATTGGAAACGTCGTTGGTTTTTTCGTGTATGCAGATCTGGCTCGTTTATTCAGTTTGATGGACGTTGACGCGTATTGAAAGCGGCAATCTTGATTTGCCTCTGCGACTCCCATTCCTTGGTTCAACTCAGCTAGAAGTGCTCTCCTTGATTGGGTCATTTGTTCTCGTTTCGACACATTTAGCCACGGCTTCGATGGTCCGTGAAAAGATTCTTTTGGAAAAGTCTCAACCCGGAAGTGCTGGGTATGATGGTCATGAATCATATATCAATTTACAAGCACGATGACAGCCCCCATTCACAGACCGATCCAGAAGTTCGTTCAGGAGCTCAAAGACATTTGGATAAATATGTTAACATTACCTCGTGTAATACGGCAAATTGTACGTTCTGCTACATCGTCGTGTTCGCTGTCGCGCCTAATTCCATGGTCCAGTGTCTGATACAGTTCTTGTGAGTCTGATGCACGGTCTTGCTTGCTCTAGCCTAATCCTATCAAAGCGCATGGTTAGGCTGGTTCCCTATCCTCTTCTACACCTCCGTCTACATAGGTGACCTAAACAAAAGAGGGCTCTATGCAACGGCCACCGTCATACCTCCGCCTGGTTCTCCGAATGTCCTGACACCGGAAATTTTGGCTTCTCTCGACACCGAATCGGCACGCCTCGGTTCTCGCGCACTCTTCTACTCTTCTCTACTGACTTTGTTTATGAACTTCGTTTTACCTTATTTTGTCACTGAGGCGTCGACAAACTCAAGGAGGAGGAAACAGAGGAGGCATCAGCAAACTGTGTCGAATGGTTTCGGTGATTCGAGTGGCTCATACGGAGGTGGGATGGACGGGACTCCTGGTCGTACCTCAGATACCCTCAACCGTGGGAAAGCTCTTCTTCGACGGCTGAGCTCTTTTGCAATCCCAGAAAGGTTGCAATTACATCTCTCAAGTTTATGGGCAATTAGCCATGCGGTATTTGCCTTCTGTATGCTCGGTACATTGTAGGTCATCCCTATTCCTCTATCACCGTCTCAACAAGCTGGACAGATTCTTGTAGCTTCACATCCTCAGTTGCAGGTGCGAGTATCCTCGTTGGGATCACTGGGTTCTCTTGGGCCGTTACCCAATGGGTTCCTTTTGCTCTGGTTTGTTTTTTTTCAAATGTGCTGCCGTAATGTTGACTAAATACGTGCTACACTTAGCTTGGAGAGGCGATCCTCACGGAACCTTCTGTCCTCGCAGATGATGGCGCTTCCATTCAGCTAGCTGATACGCGACACAGGAGACGAAGTGCAAGCATAAACCTCGCCAGAGCCAGTTCAGAGAGTCGGCGTGAGCTGTCATTGCGGAATCAGTCTGATATTGACTCGCGGGAAGGAACATTTGCCATTGAGGATGAATCCGATGATGAGCGCGATGAGCGAGACGAAAGCCCCAAGGACGGACAGCAAATGCGGGCAGCACTTTTTGGCAACGCAGCAGCTGGTGTTAGTAAGGTCGATATATCCAGACGTCAGGATGATCACCAATACCCCCACGATGACGAGGACGATGGAGAAGAAGCCGGATTAGTTGGCCGAGTACGGGACGAAGAAGATGTAGGTATGCCTGATGATCCCGGCGCCTCCAGGGGAGGTGGCTTGAGCGCCAAGGCCGGAATTATACTGGTAACTCAACCGTAGTTTCACATCTGGACTGTATACTGATAACTCTCTAGGGAATTCACAATATATTCATCGTGGTACCACAATTCCTTGTGACGGGTATCTCTTCCATAATCTTCGCTCTGTTCGACCCATCCAAAAGCGTTTTACACGGTAAACACCCGGGTACATCCCATCGAACTATCAACACGACCGAAGTTGCAGGTGCAGTAACCGAATTTTCGCAATTGCTTTCTATGCGAAACGCAACAAGCGATCAAGAAGCCATTCTGAACGAGCTTGTAGAGCTAGAATCAGCTGCAAATTCGAACTCAGTCGTTTATATATTCAGGTATGAACTATATCGGCCGCTCATTCTCCTTTTTCACTCATATCATCATGACCGCAGATTAGGAGGAGTAGCTGCATTCGTTGCCTTCATCCTATGTTGGAGGCTTTCTAGAGAACTCCGGCATCGATAAGAGCAAACGGACTTCGCTGGGTTTTAGCAAAATATTTATCGTAGCTATAGTATTGTAAGTTAACGATAGAACCTTTGGGCGTCATTTTGTGGACGCTATGTCCCACCGAAAGAGCACCCTAATACCTACCAGACGTCGACTGGTCCCGTCACCCTGAGCGCGAACATGGGGAAAACAGGAGACCAACATCCCAATTGCTTCACTCAATACCATCGCCTAAGGTTATGGTCAGAGCATCGAACGCAAATTGGTCATTCTGAGTAGCTTACTGCGCTGAGAATTACCGTTCTCGTCCAAATAAAGCCGCGGTCGGAGGTTCCATGCAGTCAGTTGAGTAATGATAGAAGGAACCAAGGACAGGTCTAGGGATTTCGAATATCAAGCAGAGGCCTTCTAGGGATTGAAACTTGAAGTTACAAACATGAGCTAGACGTGCATCCGTACAGTAAGCCGAATATGACGAGCCCCGCTGCGGAATTCACACTTAGCATTGTGAAGAGAAGAATAGTTGTGGTTGCTAGACATGGGGACGATCCAGTTGTATGAACCGAGACGATCCGCGAACTTGAAGTTTGGTAGCAATCTGCCAACTATGCTTTCGGCGTTCAATATGGCGGTCTATATACAGTGTGATAGAGAAGTCAATCATCAAAGACCTTAAGATATAAAATATCAATAGAGGATATGACGTACAGCGTAAGATGCGAGTTTTGAATTTCCAAAGCATAGAATTGGAGGTAGAGGTCTGCAACAGGGCACTGGAGAATGAGCGTCCCTTAACCTCGTTAAAAACCGATTCTGGCGTACAAGGAAAGAAGAGCCCAAACGCGACGGAACATCCCCAGCGAAGAAACGAAAGGTAATGGAATTAGGCCTCAGGTTTGCAGTGATTGAGCTAGCAAGAAATTTTACACAGCAATCGAAACCATGAGATGCACCGTCTCTCAATATACTCGTTATGCCTCCGATTTGAGAAGGGTTTGAGAAGTTTCATGATCGGGTGACGCTGTCCTTGCTACCGTCGGAGACCTTGGTTTCCTGATGAGATTTGCGCAGCAAAGCGTGGCACCCGCCAGGCCACCAGTGGTTCGAGTTGCATTCGCATTGAGTTGAGGTCGTCCAATTCGATTGGTTGAGAAGGATAGTCCAGATGATACCACCCAAGGAAGCACCCTAACGAAAATGGCAATAGTATCAGGGAACGAACGCATGTATTGGTGGTTAGCATCTACTTAATATCTTACCGTGACAGCAACACCTATGGCAAATACTCTACGTTTCTTGAAATGCCGCGGAATGGTCACCAGGGAAGGAACGAGCAGTGGGCCTTGTCCAAACCCTAATCCGACAGCCTGTGCGAGAAATACTTGGTAGTATTGCCCTTGATGAGCCAGCGACAGTACGAGCAGCAAACACACTTCGAGCAATGAGTCTATGGCCGTCGTGAAACGACTACGAGGTACAAGGCAAAGTCAGAAATTAAGACGTAGAAACGGAAAAGGAAGTATGCGAGCAGTACGTATAAAAGGGGCTCACAAGTACCCTGCGTCGAGAGCATGCCCCACAATAATGTTCGGAGCATACTGCATGAAGAGCTGGAACTCCCTATCCAGCTGCGTCGTAAGAAAATTGTCAATGATCACTCAGGCTGGGAACGACCCAGGACAGAATATGTACGGTCGGAGACGGTCAGGCACTAACCCTGTGTCAGATGGACTTTGGTTAAACAAGAAATCGCGTGTGTAAACTCTTGGAAATTGGAGGATACAACTACCCATTATCAGCAGGTTCCGAGCCGTATAAAAGCTGAAGCAGAGCCCCCACCGCCCTAAGATTGTCGTCCAAGCACCGTTTCCTCCGTCGCTGACCTCGTGACTTCCTACTTGCAACTATAGATGGGCTCCCGGTCTCGGCTTCTCTGCTCCAAAGATCAGGAGTGCGGTTGAAATTTGTCATCAGTGACCGTGATACTAGCTGCCGAAGTAGCGGTGTCCTTCTTGTCAGCTCGAATGGCGGCTGGTTTTCCGGTCTTCTGAAAGTTCATGGAGCCGGAGAAGTTGCTCTCGCTCGAGGAGGGCATAGCGAATTGTTGGAGAATTGCTCAAGGCGAGTTATCACAGAGTAACCGAAGACGCTACAGCTCCACGGGAAACTTGAAACGATCTGATTGAACTTGAATGAAAGCCTGACGCCTCGAAATAAGGGAAAAGATCCGCGTATTCTGCAAGGACAACAACTTGCACCGAGGACAAAATTCGAGTAATGATGTTGAGGACGGACACGGTTCATTTCCAAGTGAATCCCCTCTCAAGCCTTCCGCCAACGGTAATAAGTCCAATCGAATCGTATCGTTCACGACAGAGGTAACTTGGTTAGAGATCGTTGTACATGGAAGTTTGAGGCTGTCGGTTCGTTCCTTTGTAGTCCAGATACTGCCAATGTCATTACAGTAATAAATTGTAATTCACCGTGAACAGCTCGTAAGCTGGCCGCCACCCGCTACTTCCGACCACGGGAGCAAAATGATAACTCTGATCCCAATCAGCCGTTGAGGTTATTTAGCAAGAGGAGATCGAGGCCACTCACCAACAAACACGATTTGAGAGCGGGATATTCTCGTCCACCTTGTCACCACATGAGTAGATAGGCCTGTAACCGACCCATTTATGACGATGCGGTTACATGATGAGTAGAGCGGCGTGCCTGCTGGAAGCCTGTTTCAAGGTTCAGACTGAGTTCGGACAGCTTCCAGATGCTGATATGTTTTGCACCCAGCGTGTTGAATATAAGGCGCTATAGCCAAGTGGTTACGGCGACAGATTCGAATGATTACGACATCTGTTCCTCTTTGAGGGCGCAGGTTCAAATCCTGCTGGCGTCGACTCATGTTCTTTCTTTTTGAATTCCATAGCTGCATGTACAGTTTATGTTTTTATATAACTCGGTCGCCTAAACAGTAGTTTACAAGGCTGAGTACCGTTACGGTTTACCGAAAGTTTTCGTTGGACCGGGACCACCCAATCGCGTATGGACCGCACGTGTGAGGACACACGGTTTCCTCATGATTACAGCGAGGCAAACGGGAGTTTCGGGTAGTTTTCCTCGTACCATGTCAGCTTGAATTCCGTCTCATTTCCCCCTTCATCTTTTCTCTCCAACATGGTCATTCTCTGGTACTTGGCATTAATCTTCTGGGTTCTGGTTACCTCTTCAACACCTGTGGTACTGCCCTCGATATCCAACGCGTACGTGGAATCACTTAGACAGTTTGGCTCGTCAAGTTTCATGGAACTATTTCATAGGCAAGACTATGCTGAGCTGGCACAGCAGTCTCCCAGTGTTTTCAGGTGAGTGAGCGGGATTCAAGCCGTTAACATGGATCTAAACTGACGTGTTCGGCTTAGACCGCAGAGCGATCTACTAGTATTGGGCGTGAGGTAAGTTTCTCTTCACTCCTAAGAACATTACTTGACTGAGCTATTTGGTACAGCTCGCTACCGGGTACCCTTGGCCGCATCTCGCCACAATCTGTGTCCTCGTTGTCTCGACGCGTCGCCCTTTCACCCCTCAACTCCCACTCTACCGACCTATCTCAGTCTCGTTCACCATCTTCTTCGGCAACGGTGCTAGAGCCATCTCTCCCTTCGTCTTTATCCGTTCTTCCCCTTCTAAGCTATTCGACCATACTCGCCATAATAGGTTTCATTAGTTTGCGTATTGCAAAATGGAAGCAAAGGCGAAGAGCACGCCAGCAAGCTCACACGTTGGACCGCGATGGCGTAGAACTCCTTCCCACGAGCACTGCGACGGTCAGTCCAAGGTTCAGGGATCTCCCAGTCCCACCGCCACTTCCCCTGAACTCTCCTCATGTTTTGCCCAAGTCAGCGTCTTTAATTTCCTTGCACTCGCTGTCATCCCCACGTCCCACTTCTCCAGCGCCAGCTTTTTTCCCGGATAACCGACTGAGTCGTGAACTCGAAAGGCCCAAGTCACCTGTGCAACATTTGGGTTTTTCGCCCAATGCCAAGATCAAACGAAGAAGCAACAGTTTGGACCTTGGAGGTGCTCCCAAAAAACGAGTTGCCCATCTGCCCACACCTCTTCGACGGCCGTTCTTTATCTCTGAACCAGAGCCTGACCATGATCATCTTCTCTCTCCCCGTGGAACTATACATCGTTACAGGGACGATGACGATGCTGACGACGACCTTACGCTCATTCATTTCTCGCCCTCCCATCATCAACGAGTGAAAACTTACCATCCCCATGGCTTATGGCATTCTTCTCCAAACACCCCTTTCGTTCCAACTTACGGCACAGAGACTGCCTTGATCGACTTTTCGTCTTCTTCCTTGGATAAACACAAAACGTCCACTCCGGTCAAATGTGACGTTCCAGTTTCGGCACACGCCGCTATCTGGGCACTCGACACTGAAGTTCCTCGTACACCCCCTCCTCCCGCATCTTTACCTCCCCCTCTGGTGGCATCCCCGAAATCTCTTTTCCATCACCGTTCCGAGTCCTCCGAATCTGAGAACTTGATTGATTTCTCCCCAAAGCTGAGGAGGAAAACTCTAGAAGATGAGCCTCGTTATTCTGCCGTTGAAGCGCCAGTTTTGACTCTGGTAGGTGACGTGGAGGACAGTCCGATCTCTGACAAGGGAAAGGGTTATGAGGGTGGAGATGAAGACGAGATGGATATTACATTGGATGGTGGACGTGAGCTCCAAGCTAGACTTTCTTTACCAGCCTTGATGCAGAGGGAAGTAAGTACAGAAGAGGACGTCATTGATGATTTGCAGAATTTAGAAGGAGGGTTATCAGTTGGTCAACCTTTAAGCGCTGCTTCGTCGACGTCTTTCTCTGAACCTGTGGTCGATGTGATTGAAAAGATGGAAAGCAGGGAAGAGTCGTTTGAGGGGGACAAGGACGACATGGTGCGGAGTGTTGACGACGAGGTCATCGATCAAACCGCATCTCTTACTTCATCACAGTCTCCATCTCCAGTCGTAGTTGCCCTCCCTGTGGACCAACAAGATTGCCTCGGGGATCATGCGGACGACAACTCGCAACAGGAAGTCGATTTGGAGACTACTTTGGTGGAAGGAGCCCGTGTTTCTGACGATGTCGTGACCATAGAGGTAGAGGTACGAGGCGTGGGAAAGGAAGAGGATGAGGATGACGCTGTTCACGAATTTAACGACCTTAACGAATCTGATGAAGACTCAAATTATTTGGCCAACTATTCGCCCAACGTGAATGAACCTACCCACTCCGAAGTGGACAATGGTTTGTTGGAAGTCGATGAAGCTTTTGTTGAAGTTTCTCTGCCTCCATCACCTATTCCCTCGGATTGTGATTCCCTACCGGGCTTGGGCGAGGTAGAAGCTCCGGTTTCTGTGGACAAGAAGTTAATCGGAAACTCGGAAAATGAGGAATTTTCTCAATCTTCCGAGCCCTTACTGTTAACGGAGGTACTAAAGCAAGAGTTCCCGGATCCGGAATTGCTTCCCTTGCCTCCGATGCCACTCCCTACCTTTATCAAGTCTCTCGAGCTTGAGACTTCGACTACTCTTTCTTCGTCGTCCTCTCCCTTATCACCTTCGCTGTCTCATTCTCCTCATCAAATCCCCACTCCACCAGCTTCTCCACTTTCTAGTCCACGATTAACCGGCCTTTCAAACATCACCAACCGACCGGCATGGAGTGTACGAGCGGTGGATATGCCTCCGCTAGGTATTCATGCTAACGCTGTGCACGGTTTGAACACGAGGAAAAGCTTTGGGGAGTTGGGAGGAAGAAGGAATGACGAGAATTGGGATATTGTCAAGAGGAGGAAGCTAGGGAAGGTGAAGGAAGAGAGAAAGGCTCAAGATGAATACGAGGATGAAGATGAAAGCGAGGCTCCGGCGGGCGAGGACAAGGAAGTTGAGGTTACATCTGAACCTGCGTTGGTACCCACCGTGGGTGTAGAACCAGCACCTCGATCTCCGACACATCTACCGGAAGGACTCCTTTCTCCGACGACTACGTCTACGTTGTTGCCAGGTTCATTCCCAACCGATATTCTCCCGGCTTCCGTTAGCGAAAAGAGCGTTCCTCGTTCTGCTATTGTCGAAGCTACTGTACCCGTGGAAGCGCAAGTCCAAATCGAGACTAAAGAAAGCCAGGGTGTTTCCACGTCGCTCACCGTTCCCAATACCCAGCGCCGACCGGTTCGTCGGTCTGCCCTCGACATTGCGTTGGCAATGCAGTTGAGGCCTGGGTTGGGCGTAGGCGCTGATCCTGCTTGGATGGTCAGGTTTTTGATGGCAATGTTTGGATGGTTTGTGGTTCTGATCAGTGGGAGCACAGGAGATGCGTATGGGTATGGGATGGCAGGAGCCGGGGTTAGAGGACTGTGATGAATTTTCTTTTGTCTTCTCCGGTTTTAATGACGAGGGTGTGTCACTTGTTATCTTCCCTTGACTTTCGGGATCTGTAGTATGCCTAACTGCATTTTTTCTCTCTCCATTCACTGATCTCGCTCGTCTGCATTCGGTTTCGTTCGATATGCATTTCCATCCACTCACATTTTTTCTTTTATTTGCATTTGTTCATGGCCCCCAAACCCGCACGTTCACTACAAGTATTTAGAATCATCTGCATGGATTTTTGACAATACCCGCAATATTTACATTATCCTGTGGTTGATAATTATGCATACTGTTTACATGTTTACATCGAGCATTTTTGTACGTACAGTTCATCGGATAATGGTCTACATATGGAGCCATGTGGAAGATCGTAACCTAAGTAAGGGTAGGGGCTTTGGCACTAAATTGTTAAGGACTGCCCCGGATAATACGAGCTCGAGTGGACTGTTGCAACAAAATAGGAAAATTACCCACGGTCGTAGCCTCAGTCCCTTAAACATCAGTAAACGCTACCGCTCCCTCAGTCCTACTTCAGTTCAACTCAAGTATGTAGAGCAGTGCACCTAAAACATCGATGAATTAACGAACGATTGTTGAGCTCCTAGGTACCACAACTTCTGTCAAGCTAACACACCTCAGTACCTCAGGCCTCAGGCCTCAGCTCCGATCCATCAGCATCCCAGAAACATTCAATGGTGTGCGATGGAGATGTGTTCGAGTGGCAAACATGATCGTGACTAGAAAACAAGGAATTGGGTTGAATGAGATTTACCCGGCCAATCGTACTCAAGCATTGATCATGAGGGGAAAAGCTAGTACAGAGCGGCGGGCCGCCAGCTCCTCGTTCTTTCTTATGTCCGAGTCACCCTCCTCCTTGCAGTCTTCAGTTATTTTCCTTCGCTCATTACGCTGGGCATGTAATCGTCGCTACATTGATGATTGGGCTCAGCCTCAAGGTCATCCGGTAAAGAAACTGTTTCGAGCGAGATCTACGGATGGTCTAAACATCCGGCAGCTGGTTCTTCAGGCATGAAAAATCCCTTCTTCAGCCGCATGCTATGAATTTTTTCTTACATGATTCTCTTCCTTTCAGAATGGTCCTCGAAGTATCCTCGCGAAAACAAGACTACTGATCGGAGCTTGACACCCAAAGAATGCCTTGATGTGCTGAATACTGCCATTACAGCTGCCAGAAAGATCCCAAACAGTCCTAGTCTCCCCTAGGCAGACTCCGAATGCTCGCGGCGCGCTTGATTGAAACAGTCCAGTATAACCAGAAACCTATCAACGTCGCAGCCGAGGCAGTCCGCTGTAAGGTGAATTCTCTGAATAGCAGATATAAATATGGCTACCTGGCGCAATGGTAGCGCGTTTGGCTTCGATTACCAGATGTAGCTAACCAAAAGGTTGCAGGTTCGAGTCCTGCGGTGGTCATACATTTTTTTAAAATAAAACTCACGGAAAG